GCTGCCATACAACCATGAGGACCTATGAACTAAAAAATAAGAGGGAGAGAAGAGGGACTTATTGGAAACTTTAATGCCCTAAGCAAACATTCAGGGTCAAGGCGCCTATACCTTGTGTTAACAACATACCGTCACAAACAGCTGGCTATCGTGCAAAGATAAGGCGGCATCGGCGAGAAAGCTTCCTTGCGGCTTTCACTGCCACGCGTCATAATCAGCCATTACTCCGCAAATAACTCAGCACCAAACACACTTTAAACAGGCAATCCAATTAGGAGACGGCAGCAGACGCGCCACTGGTGTCGACTGCGAGCCATGTCCTCTAAAGTCTCTAGCCAACCACAAGGCGAGTCACGTGGACTCCAACCCGGAAGGCGAGACGGACCAACGGCACCCAGTTTGGTCGTCAGTGACTTCATTTCCCGTTGCCAAGTCAACGTCTGTCCACCTCGAGCCTTGCGCCACCCTACAACTGACAGACTAAACAAGGCACTCCTAGGTAAGCGGTGACCAGGCATACGTAGCACGTGCCCGAGCCAACGCAACTTATTCAGTGCTATCTGTTGTTCAAGGGAGCTAGCATGATTTTCACTACCTAGTTCTCGCCTACGCACATCATCGTTGCGGACACGCTGGTACCATCCGACACCAGCAATGCTTCGCAGAAAACGATGATCAAAGACTTGAAGGCGCCTCAGCTCTTCAGACCGAAGGGGCCAAGTCTCACTGCCATACAGCAGAACGGCCCTCACTGTGGCCTTGTATACACGGTCATTCAGACAAAGGGAGACTCCTGTCGCCAAAGATGCCGCAAGTTCAAGAAGGCAGCTCCGACCTTTGCAATGCGTGAGCTGACGTCAGTTCCTATGCGCCCATTGTTGTTGATGCAGCTGCCAAGATAAGTAAATTGATCAACCACCGCGAGTTCCTTGTTGGCAAGCGTCAAGGGGTCGTCAAGTGGCTGGTGGTCCTGCAGCAACACTTTGCACTTTGAACGTGCGATGTGCATACCAAATAATGGGACCACTCTGGACAGGCTATTCAGGGTTGATTGGGCCGCCCCAACGTGGTCGAAAAGCAAGACGATATCGTCCGCATAGTCTAGATCAACTAACCTTTCAACAGGCAGCACTTCAACGCCCACATCGTGAGATTCCGCAAGGGAACACTCCATGACAGAATCCACGACGAAATTGAACAAAACGGGGAAATCGGACAACCCTGACGAACGCCGCTTGTGGTCGGAAAGCTATCCGATAGGACACCGTAGACCCTGACGCGGCCTCTAGTGTTCGAGTATAGATCACAAACGATGTTCACATATTTCGTGGGAACACCTTTCCGCGCAAGTATTTCGAACACAATCGAACGATCGACTGAATCGAACGCACTCTTGAAATCGAGGAACACAGCTATCGTCGATCGGCGGTATGCGTGGCGCTGCTCTAGCACCTGCCGCAAGGTGAATATATGGTCTATACAGCCACGCCCTGGGCGGAAACCAGCTTGATCTTCCTTAATCCGAGATTCCTGTTCCACAGTGAGGCGACGAACGATAATCGAGGCCAGTAATTTTGTCACAAATGGCGTTAGGCTAATACACCTGTGGTTAGAACAGTCTGTGCAACTGCCCTTCTTGTATATTGCCACCATAATCGATTCGCTCCAATTAGCCGGGACGTTCTCTTCCTTCCAGATACATTCGAATAAGGAGGTCAGTGCTTTGCAGAGGACCTCACTTCCATCCTTACATAGTGCAGGTGGGAGGGAATCCGGGCCAGCCGCACGAAAACGGTTGAGGGCTGTGATCACGTTTCGGACCTCGGCCTCCGACGGAGGCTCTAAACTAACCGTTCATGGCTCGTCCTGCATCACCGGAGTAGGAAGACGTCTGGAAGCAGGGGGCCGGCTGAACGGATCATGAAAGTGTTCCGCCCAACGAGTCATACGGCGCTCCTTATTGTGTATCAGCGCATCCGCGCTGTCTCTGATTGTCTCACTGACGTCTGGTTTCCTGGGACCAGTGGTGCGAATCAGCTGGAAGAGCTTGCGGTAATTGCCTACTGCTCCTGCCTCCCCCATTTCTTGAGCCTGACTGGTCCACCAAGCTTCCTTGTCAGCACATAGGTTCTGCTTTAGTTCACGCCAAATAGCCCGTCTGATCACATTGTGCTCAGAGCCAGCCGGGAGGTGTCTTCTAGATGCCAACAGGTTCACCGACCTCTCGGATATCCCGTGACTGGTGCGGTAACGATTGACAGTGCCACAAGCAGATGCTCCTGCGTCGTGCATGGCGGCCGAGATCCTATTCCACTGAAGCTCAGCGTCATTAGGACACGACTGCGGAAGTTCAGTAGGCGGTGCGTCTTGATAGGCTTGCCTGACCGAAGGCTGAGACAATTTCTCAGTTGCCATTTGGCGGAGACACTTGGTGCGCCTCCCGGTAAAGTTCATGGAGAAACCACAACGTACCAAGGCATGATCAGAGTCGACACAGGTACTCCAGTACGAGCGGCAATCCGGGATGGAACCACGCCACTTATAACTTATGGCAATGTGATCAATTTGGGTCCATCGCTGGCCAGCTACAGGAGGACGCCAAGTGGCACTTCGGCGCCCACTGTGTCTAAAAGCAGTGCTACTAAGAAACAACCGATGCTCCGCACACAGTTACAGCAGACGCTCGCCGTTGTCAGTCCGTTCGGAGTTAAGCCCACATTTACCACCTAGCTGAGCTTCTGAAGAGCTCAGACGCCCCACTTGTACGTTTATATCCCCTGCAAGTACTATAATATCTGAACTAGTAGCACTGAGTAATAGCGCATTTAGTTCCTGATAAAATGCGTTCTTAACAGCATTTAAACTGCAGTCGGTGGGAGCATAAGCGGAAATCACGAACAAACAGCGTTTTGTACTACTTCGTGAAGCAACCTTAGCTGCTGTCGTCAAACGGGCTGCACATAAACGGCTGTTCACCAGAATCCAATCAACCAACGATGGCTCAGTCTTGGAGCTTAGAATGATACCTACACCAGCTTGACCCGTGAGTGCTGCATCGGCGTCTCCGGATGCGTGCAACCAATAACGAGAGGATAAACCGGGTGCAGTTGAGGTCATATGATACTATCCGGCAGTCCACTCCAAGAGAGGGGTTTCGAATGAAGTGCCTAATCCCTACATTATGAATTAGCAGTCCGACCCACAAGGCAGTGGCAAGCAAATCCACCTCAGAAGTGTGAATGCGGTTCCAGGCTCAAAGAGCGGCTCCATGCATGTAGTGTGGAGCGAAGTACGGCCCAGCCACCACTTTGCGTAGGTCTGGTACGCATGATTCTCAATTTAGATAGACAGTAATCATGATGCTCTGTATGTTGAAGGGCCGACTCTGTTGATGAAACGTGGTTCTCACCCACATGCATCGCGGTCCTATTTTTTGGGTCTATACTGGATATGTAGTGTGTGGACGAAGCCCCCGTGGTTTCTCTGTACACACAGGCGAGATGTGACTGTCCTATGGAAGACTCAGTGACAGGTAAATCCGGAGCAGGATGCCGCTACCCATGTTAGTCACCTGCGACTGCGGCCAGCCGCAGGTGGGAGTTGACGGGTTTGCACCAATTTGACAAGGGGTTGCCTGGTTTGAGGCGAGCAGTAGCAAAACACTGAACACCGGGAGGTGCCCTCCCACTGTCAGAGATAATGCGTGACGTTCGTGCTCTAGGCTAACCGAACTGTCAGCTCATAAAACGTAAACCTGTTGTCTACCATGGCTAGATTTAAGGGGAAGAGCCATGGACCGCCGAAGTGGCATGTATGGAGTAGACTGCATACTTCTGCTGCGACACCTGAGGTGGCTCGGACATGTCCGTCGTACGGTTTCGACTAAAATACCGAAGCACCAGCCATATGAACAAGTTAGTACAAAGAAGAAGAACGTGGGCAAACCGAAGCCACGTTTTAGGGCATTACAAAGGTGCATCTAACACGAAATAATGTTGATTTTAGATGATGGAAAGTAATGGCAGTGGATCGTTGCTAACAACAGGACCACATCAGGATTGTCATTTCTCGGGTGCACCAGTGCATCAATGAGAAAAACGCAGGTTATGGAAGCGATAGGTGCCAAAATGATATAGCCAATGGACGTTGAGCACATGGGGCTGTAGCACAAGCGGTCATGTGGGCTTCATGCAAGCCTGTTTGGAATGCCATTTACTTAGTAACAATTGAAAAATATCGAAACATGACGAGTAAGTTGAACAGGTAAGTTTCAGCGCAGCTCTTGGTATATACGCTGTTTCCGGTTCCATTTAGAAACCCAGTCCAATGATGCGGTTGCTGTGGCACGTGCGCTACAGCATCGATGCAGTTGGTATGTAGGTGTAGTTACGCGCTGGTTTTCTTGCATTTTTGGTTTTCGTTAGTTGACATCCCCGGTCTGGCTGCGTTTGAGGTTAATTTTGGCAAGGTGCCTAACTGTCCACAAACCTCCCCCTCGATAACTGGCTCCAGGAGATTGCTGAACGATGCAGGAGGAGATGGGGTGTACAGTCTTCGTGATGGTGTTAGTCCCATCCGGTGTGGAAGGTCAACGGCTCAGCCACCGCACATCTGGTATGTATATTTTCCCCAGTTCAAATGAATTATGTGAGTGCTGAAGGAGAATGGGCCGGCCCTGAGTCAATTGCAGCACCCATTCACATACCTTCGCGTCTTAATTATTTGAGTTTATACTAGGTATAAGTGTGTGGATGGAGCTGTGGGTGGTGTAGTACATGGAACCCATAGTCGCTCGGTAGGAGCAGGCGTCTTATGGCAATTCGCAGTCTCAGTGGGAGGCAAATGCGGAACCGGATGCCCCCTCATGGAGAGATAAAACTCCCCGTTACACGCTATGAGCAGGCTAAAGTCATACCGCTGGAGAAGGAAACCATTTCAAGTTTGTTGCGAATGGTGAGCATTATGGTGAGCATTATTTGAAGGCGTCAAAGGTAAACCACCTGATCCAGAAATTTCAAGAAGCTTTTCCAGTTTCAATTGCAGTATGTTCGTAGATTGTCCTGCAATAAAGTACCATAAGACTAGTTAGCACTGGGAACACATGCGAAATCATAGTAATGGCCAAATTTTATAGTTTGTAATGGTGAAAGATGCTTAGAGAGTAACCAATTGGATAAATAGAAGCTGCTGCAGAAAGACCTGTGGTAACGGTAGGGACCTTCCAAATACACAGGAGACGAGAAACCGGCGTGGCATTATGGTTCAATGAAGCAAAAAAAACACGGAAAATTAGAAGTTTGCTGTGAAGTAGGCACGTAACAATAGCACTAAAATACTTTAGAGCATGGAAAGCATGGATAGCAGATAGTAACATTGGAAGAAAATAAAGCATTTCAAACAAGAGGAGACGTGATGATTCTAAGCAGAAGTGAAGCAATAAACTAGAGAGCTCAGTTGAATACAGGAGAAAGCAAGAAAAACGTGTGTCTGCACAAAAGTGAAACCCTAGGAAATTATGCAATCAGGCCATGAGATGGGCATATTACCAACTGCTTAGAGAGTAATCCGATGAAGAACCGTCCAGTAAGCGGATACCCGTTTATCTACCGAGTTGTGGCTCAGGTGAATTTGGTGAAAGGGCTACGATAGAAATTGAGACACAATGCCGTCTTGTTGAACGAGCAGACAGGGAGCATCGTGCAGCCATGGAATTCTGCAAACAATGGTGTCACTTTATTCTTCTGACGTCTCTCCGTTACTAATTCCTTCCTCCACGATTAAGTACTACGTGAGTGGACCGGAATCTACAAGCTATTTTAACAGCGTGACTAAGTAGTCTATCAAAATGAAGCTCCAACTGGGTGTCGCAGTGCTCGCACGCTAGTTGAAATCAGTAAACAGAAGATTTCTCCTATTGTGCGTACTGCATATTATCACAATTCCATGTCACGGTAGGTATGACGCTTATTAGTTGACCCAAAGAAAATAATCAATGTGATTGTTCGCTGGAGAGATACGAGTAGACATTTTCCATTAGACACGCTATCTTTCTCACAGAAGCGGTGCTGTGCTGCTTGAGCAACTGTGGTGCGCAATCTACCTCGGGTGCGGAGAGCGGCTCTTGGGCGCAGTTCACCGCAGCCCCCTGAGTCGTTGCCAGAATTGACTGCCTTATCTTCGAAGCCACATGAGCCGTAGTCACCTTCCACACAAGGGTGATTTCAACTGTCCTTGAGTACGCTAGCCTGCAATCCAACTCAGGTCCGGATATTGTGAGGTCGAAGTAAACTTCATGAACATGATAATTGAAAGTGGAGCACTGCAAAACACATGCCAGCTGACAGTATGACGTCGTGCACATTTCCGCTCTGCCTAAACTTTAACAAAACTCAAGCAACATGCGTGAAGCTCAGATGCTGAAGCCCGCGGCAGTAAGCAATCACTCAGTACTCATAGCCAGCATGGAGTGTCAGTGTTGGGAGGAGCAACATCGAAACACCTCCAGCATGGAACTATTCTTACCGTATTCTCTATCGCTGGAGCCAGCTTAAAACTACTAGAAAACTGACTTCGACGGTCTAACTAGAGCCGCGAGCTATGTGGATCGATCGCTGCAAGTAACATTTGTGGAAGACCGCTGGACTGCTACAAAAGAGGAAGCGATATTGCTGTGCTTCCAGTTTGCGTCACTGTAGTATGAGCAAGCTGGACCAATTAGGTCACATCGGTTCGACAAGTAGTATGGTAAATGGATCAGTGGTGGTGCAGACTGTGATACAACTACCTCATCTTCGGATTTACACACGACTAGGAAGCGCATAAGAGGCAGCGGAATGTTTGCAACAATGCAAAAACGAGTCAGTGGCGGCTTTTGAAAAGCAACTGCAACAGCGGCAAAGACCGCCCCGAAAAGAATCTTTGTTTGTTTGAAGCAAAACCTGAATACCGCAAACGATCTATCAGTGCTAGACAGTTCGGGCGCACAGCTCCTTACCTCTAGTACGGATCGTGCATCTACATTGGCTTCGCATTTCGGTGACACAAAGTTAGATTACGAAGATGAAAATACGCCAGGAAGCAATGCTCCAACCTGATTTCGAGTACTGCGGAATGACCAGTGATACTCTGAACCTCAAGCAAGACGCTAAACCACTAGTTAGACCAAGAGGCCTTGTGCCGAATGCAAAGAAAGAAAAGCAATGTAGTTGTTATGTGGAAGAAAATCGAACAGACAGAGTCCGTCATTCCAAAAGTTTCGGGGACCGAGGAGGTGGTCGATAGGAAGGGTGATCAGGAGAAATAGTCGAGTCATCTATGACCTAATGGTAGGAAAGGAGAAATGGGTCAGGCACCCCAAGCAGCTGAGGCCGTAACGGCAAGACTAAGTTCCCCAGAACCGTCATCCTTACCGTGAGACATGCTGCTAGATACGTTTGGTTTGGAAGACGAAGCGGCTACGTAAATTACAACAGAATCTGCAAGCACCACATGACACACAATGCAGGCCGACCCAAAGGCGGAGACGACCACAATGGCTGCAATTTACCCCAAGGCCAAAACCTATGAACAAAGTCGAGTTAGAACGGTATGCAAGCAGACTCAATTCGAAAGAGCAGGAATTAGGCGGCCACAACTGATGAACGGTGGAAAACGGTTTGGAGACAAGCCTTTGGCTTACGGCAGATATCGTGGTCAGCTGACTCACCCAGTTCATCATCGTCGCACGGGTTGCTATGGCGCGGACGTGATCGTGACTACAGCCAGACAGTGGAGGCCGCTATAAGGTTTGAATCTGTCTAGACAAGTGACGTGAATCAGCCTAGTAACGTGCAGTCGAAGTGAGTGTATGTGACCAATAAAGTGAACAATGTTCTGCCCTAATACTCTTCGGTCTAGCAGGTCTCGGGCTTCTGCTTTTTTCCCAACTGGGTTGGCGGTGCAGAGAGTAAAGGCAGCGCCACACCAATTACCCATTTGTTCCTGACGAGGCATAAGTGGTTGCGGCCAGTGGACTAACGGAACCCTGCCGACGTGATCTATATCGATTTCGGTAAAGCATTCAACGACGTAAACCATGAGGTGCTCCGCAACAAGCTGAGAATGTGCAATGTTGTTAGATCACCGCACCAGTGGATCCGCAAAATTATCATCGGACAAAAGTACAAGGTATGGGTCGACGTTTAGCTAACTAAGTAGTATTTTTTTAGTAGCGGCGTAACCAAATGCACTGGACTGAGGCTCACGCAGAACCTAATCTACATCAACTATTTATCGCAGCTTCGCCGGCCGTCATGGGACCTGTTAACAGACGGCCTGAAGATTTGGAGTGATTAGCACCCATGACGACTACGGCATACTGCAACAAGACCCCAACCCCGTCTCCATACGATCTGCAGAAGTCCGACTCCCGGTAAACCCATCCAAGTCGTCGTGGCGGCTGAACTTGCACCCTCGACGGCCAACTTTTACATCCTAAATAAAGGACAAGGTGTACTCCCGCCGTGTTATGAACTCAGTGGACAACACGAACAGGCTATGTCGTAATGAATGGTGCATGCTTTGAATATTCAAACGTAGATTCCGCATCTGATCTAAAGAGGTAGGCACTCGTCTCTTCTCTTTCATCAAAAGACTAATCCTAGTTACTGTCCAAACAGCGGAGGAGCGACAGAAGATTCAATGGGTCCAACACGTCGCTATCAGGCTCATTCAAAGTTTACGAGGATTACCGCACGAAGACGGATGCGAGAAACTGGGACTCTACACTTTGCCCTATCGTCGGTTGCGACTCAATCTCACCGTGACCTACCGCATAACACACATCAGTGCCTTCGTTATGTTGAGGTAGCAGCTTCATTTGCGAACGCCATGCAGCTCACACAGACATCTTTACAAACTTGTGGTGCCAGATATAAAGCGAGTTCCACACTCCCTATGCTGTGAACCGATAGTGGTAAACGTTTAGAACAGTTTGTGCAGCAGTTCAAAACTAACTGACTTACATTTCAGCACCATACTACTAAAGTAACGACGGTACAATGGCGAAGAGATTTCACAGTTGTGAGACCAGTGATACTGTAACGGATATTGTTTAGTGCCAAATAAGAAACCAAAGAACCATAATACTTTCAACAGGTGACAGAGACTTTGTATAACGGAGTTAAATTGCTACGACATCATTGCTATTGTATGGTTATGGAAACTGGAGACAGTTAACTGGATGCCATTATAGAAGTATTATTATATTTAAGAGGCAGGTGAGAGATAAAACACTGCAAACCTTGTACAAAGGTGAAACGATGAATATAAAACTGTGAGAGTAATAAAAGATAGCACACTTACCGCGCTGAAATGCAGCTGGGTGTGGATCAAGGGATTCCTCAAGTCCGATATCAAGAGCATCCGACTCCTCAGCAGTGCCGCGTAAGGTGGGGCACACTTTTGGTGTGTAAATTGTAGGCACCCTGTGGTTGGCAAACAATTTGTAGAGAAACCGATCTCGGTCCGACAAGCGCTGATACACAGGATTTATTTGCTCGCCATCCTCGACATCACGAATAGACCTCATGGTCCGTGGAGTAGAAATAAGGGAGGAGACTTTTACTCTCTTATCGACTGTGGGTAGCGAGTTCAAACGCTTGAAATTTTCTTTTATATATTCCACACGACCCTTCTCCAGGCGAATCAGATCAGTTATGGTATCCAGAGTGTGAAGAATCCTGTTTGTGTGGTTAAGCCTGTGGAATGAAAGTTGGATGAGGGAGGTAAAATTGTGAGCAGATACATGAGGCATAATAATAAAAATCAGTCTGTCATCAAGAACACCAATCGGAGGCAAACATTTGCTATCTAACCATCGACCCAATTATTTCAGAACAAACCAATGAAACAATCACTATCCATCCCTTTGTATTTTAACCTTATATGATCTATAGTGGCCTGCAGATGAATCATTAAAAGACAATTATTGGCCTCAGACCGGTGTTGTTGATGAATCAAAAACACGTCGGGAACCGGTTGTGCCGTGTGAAGATTAACTGTCGTGTTATTGCTGTGGTTGATGCTTAAAAGGTGAGAAGCAGCCATTATGGTAACAGAAGAGCCGACTATTTCTAATGGCCTATACGAGATAGTGATCAAGTGAAAACAATTTTAGAAACCGGAAATAACGCAGCCCACAACAGTTGCAATGTTACTAAATGCTAGGCATCTACCGCTAATGAGGCTCGAACACAGGGATACTGGGTCGCGAATCTGCTGTGACACTACGAAAATTCAAATAGAGGGTAACAAGTTAAATCCCAATGTGGAGTGGCCATGTGACCATGCACCCATTCGTTTGCTTGCACAATTTTTCCTACTGCAACTAGCAAACTGTCTTGCAACCCGAGTATGGTAGCTGGTCATTTGGGCGAGCGAGAATGTCGCAGCGCAGGCACACAAGAGGCTAGTCAAGTGCCCTCACTCGGGCTGATGACTATCACATAGGCAAGGAGAGGGCAAATTAGTTTGGCGTAACATGAAGGAAGCACAGTTTGGTTACAATTAAGGGAGTAGCGGATTGGTTAGAACAGCAGTGAGCGAACTCCAAGTGAGCGCCAACGAACCCAAACTGAAGACAAGGAATGACAGCTGGTCAACTGAGCGGATGAAGCCAGAGAATTGGTGCGGCCTAAAGTGAGTGGCCCTAGAGAGAGTAAGGGTATGTGCATCGCACCGAGCACAAGTTTCGAACACTGCATGAGGGCAAACAGGAGTAGCGCGTGACATGAGAGTCAAAAATCAGAAATGACCATTTAAAACCCGCTGTGATTGGATAGCGCTTCAAACCGTTGTGCAGAATAAAGGAATCTAGGCTTCATGAACAATATATCGGACAGCTGCCCAAAGTTTGTTTTGATTCTCGGGGGGCCACAGGATGCCGGGAAGGCGTATGTGAGATAGAAAGAAGCCAACAAGTAACCATTCGGTATCGTTCCTGGACATAATCTGATGTTGGATGGAACTAATTTACATCATCCGTGGTTAAAGGATTTTATAGTTGAAAACAGGGACGCAAGTGTTAAGGTCTGGATGATGTGCGTTGAGTATCCAAACAAACGCGATAGAGGATTAGCAGTGGGGTCTAAAAGCTGGAACGCTTGTGCGAAAGGGTGATAAAGAAGTCATAAGATAATCCCACTCTGCATACAAACGTGCAGTAGTGGACACAAAATATGATAGCATCATTGTCATCATCACCAACAACGATTATTATGAATGACTGCAGATCATGGTGTGGATCGAGTCTTGCAGGAATTTGATGATAACCCCTCAGAGCTGGTAGTGGCTCACGAGGGTCTGTGAACCAAACCTAGAAAGAAGCAGTGATGATGTTGCCTAGTTTCGAAAGGAAATGTACGCGACTAAAATACCTAGCTCAGAGAAAAAAACAGTACTCTCGCCAACATCAATAGTTTGTAAACTTCGATGCTATATAACCAAAAATGATACTACGATCTTGTTGACATAGATGCCCCAGATAAACGTTTAAGATAGAGGCGCTTATAGCTTATTAGCGCCACATGCTTACAAACAGCCGGGTATCTTATGGACATAAAGTGACATCAGCAAGAAAATTTCATTACTACTCTCACCGCCCCGTATCACAGCCAACTTTACTCCACATATACTTCGGTATCATACAAACCTTTAGAGTAAGCAATCAGCAACATCGATGGGTATAGCAATAAATTGCAGACAAAACACCGAACGGAACACACTTGTCTTCCGCCACACCGGGATGTTTTGTGCTCATGCGGTTTACTGCAATGCCAGGTTCTACACGGTTTTCGAATTGGGCCGAAAGCGCATCCAGCTGGGCATCCATGTCAAGTAGGCTTGATTCGATCATCCGCTCTTTGCGTTTCACCCGATTAAGCCAACGAGCAGCTTGGGGATCTAACTGAGTCACGAGTATTGGAGCGAAATCTCCACTAGGACACATGAAGAGTGATCGCCTGAGTTTGTCAGTGTATTCCACACAATTGATGAAATCCCGTTTGCGCTCAGTACAGCCTTCTTTAAGCTGCAGGATCACCTACCAGGGGAGGGGAAACAGAGCCGTTATATGGTTTGGAAAGTGCAGTTGTGAAGAAGGGACTAAAACTAGGTATGGATTCGGCGAAAACGTTCTGACGCAACACTGAAATGGAACAGTGAAGGAGCTTAAAACGGAACAGAGCGATGGCATTCGAGGACGCACATATGTCCAGTGGAATCAATGAGGACAGTAACCCCACTGCGTCCCAGATAAACGGCAACGGAAACGACTCAACCAACTAAAGCAGAGTCCATCGTGTCACAGTTGATAGCATGCACCTAGTCACAGCAATACAGGTTATCTACAAATGTGTTTCGATAACGGAAAACACAGCAAAAGGAAGCTTTTTAACAGACAAACTGGTGCCATCCTGAGGACAGATTTTACCAGGATGGCACATAGATAACCCGGCTCTTTTAACCAACTGCGACCCAGACGATGGACAATGTTGGTCCAAACAAACGTGCCAGGCAATCGTGAAGACTGATAAGGTGTGCTGAGTGCGAGCAAGCAATTATCAGTAAAGTCCGCAAAAACTGGTTTGTAGAAGCATTCTCGACTATAATGGGATTTAGTAGCCAGTACTGAAGACGGTGGGTAGAATGGATTTTAGTAAACAAATATGTGTTTGTTTTTATGTCGGACGCCCACAGAATAAAATTTGGAGAAAGAGTACACTGGATCGAGCTGTTTTACGCAAGCAACCACTGCAACGACTGCCATCAAAGACAAAGTATGTAATCGGCATTACTTGCTACTTGTTTGCCGATATGATACCAAGATAGTTACCATTGCCCAAAGCAAGGATAATGGGAAGAAAAATAGATGAAGGCAATAGAAAAGTAAGAAACGAGAGCCCGGATAAAAAATAGACGATTGATTTCGGTGCGAAGCACCCGATACGATGTACTATTGATGTTTCCCGGCCTGAAGACCATGCCCACGAAAACGATATGTCACAATCCGGTTAAATATCACGAGTAAGCTTACAATGACCTTTAGTCATGTCACCAGCAGGCCAAGTGGATGCCATTCAAGGAGACAACAAATAATGAAAGAGGTGATCAACGAAGAAGACATGGCCAAGGTAACTTAAGCGGCCCTAGCACTAAAAACGAGTTTGTGCTGATCTAGGGGGCTGTAATTAAGCACTGAGTGGTAGATGTTGGAAGTATTCATTTAGTGTGACCACTAAGTGCAAGCAATTTTACATGGGTAATGCCAGTTGGACGAACAAGCTCTTTAGGTCACCAACGCAAACAGAACGTCTCTGAACGATAAAGCAACAGTAGCCGCACCGCAGCGTTGCAAACACAGTTCTCCGTCGAGGACCAGATATGCAGTGAAAGCTTCGAAAGGTTATCTCTGGCTCTATTGATACAAGAAGTAACCTCTTCGATTAGTTATCATTAGATAATCAGATAAGTGAACAGACAGACACCGAGAATTGCCTGGTAGTCGCAAAAAGTTGGTCCGATCCAACGAGTGTGAATCGCAACCCCATATCACGGGCTAGATTACCCGCTCCAGTATGGGTTTTACCTACCCGGTAGTAGCCCAGTTCGCAAATAATAGTCTGTGGCAACATAACGGTGAAGTATCAGTAGAAAATTGTGGTGTATCACCGACCTCAATACCTACAATCTGATCCAATACCCCATGGGTTGCAGACACGTTGAAAGGTGTCGCACTCTATGATAACCTATTGTAGAAAGCTATATCCTCACACCGTAAACCTTTTAGTAAGGTTAACGAAAAGAGCTCTAACTCCAGTTTGGGCGGCGCAGGCAAATCCCCATGTCGTGGGAAGCCCGGCGAAGAGCTTTCCGTAGACACTCACAGGCTAACGAGGTTTCAGTCTTCAAAGAAAATTTCAAAAACAAGCGCAAGCAACTTGAATAAAGACTGACAAGGTCAATTGAGTTGTGATGCCAAAACACGGGTAGAAAGTAAAGTAACTTCAACCGAGGCCAGTTTAGTCTTTCAATTAATTTAAAACAAATGAACTGCCGTAGTTTGAGGAATGTGTACAATTCGAAGAGGAAGGTGATATAGTTCACGCTTCCATGATGCTTAAAGGTCAATCAGTAGTTATTCATAGAAAACAGCATCCGTAGAACACCGTCGAGGTTTTCGTGTAGGTTTGTCGCAGTTAGACACAGGCAGACAGTCACCACACATCCAGGAAAGCGCCAGACGGCCGTTTCGTCCTATTGGGACTCGTCAGTAGCGCGCACCCGCCGAATCCTGTCGGATTCGAACCCAAGACCTTACTCTTGCGAGTCAGCGACTTGTCACTGAGCCATGGGCGACGGCAGCGGATCGCCACGACTGATATCTAACTGTGATATAGCGCGGCTCATCCTCCACTGTCTTGCATGTTATGAATGTGCAGAGGACAGGGTTGGCCCCCAGAGAAACGACTTCCTATGCAAGCCGCCACTAATCGAGGTGGCATGTAAGCTGCCAAGGCGACTACTGGTTATTGGTACGTAGTAAGGTGATTTATAAGGTTTTCGTGTAGGTTAGACTACCACAAATGTTTAAACCGTCATATAACAATGACGTGGATAAAACAGCGGTTGAGCGCTTCGCTTCGTAGCAGAAACATATATATATATATATATATATATATATATATATATATATATATATATATATATATATATATATATATATATGTTCAACGCCTTCACCGGAAGTGCGATCTGTAGTGGTGCAGCAAATCAGCAGTGGTGATGAAATATTGCAAAGCAGTAAATATACAGTAAGCTTCGTATTCGCATATCGAAGGCTGCGGCGGCATTCGGGAGGCTTGAGTGCCGAAAGTGGAACAACCACCGTCTTACTGAGAACATTATGACGCTCCAAAGGTTAGATTGCGCTTCGGATGTTTGACTCGGTAGGAGGAGCTGTGGAAACAGACCAATCACCATCCGAAGGAAGCGGGGTCATAAGGAGATGCGCTGAGCAGTTAAACTGTAGAGCGATTTACTAGTGTCCCCGATCTCCAAGACGTATCTGAGAAGGTGGCACATGATTGATCGGGAGTTGGTTGGTGGCGACTAGACATTAGAGCAGCAAATTCAGCAGATCAATTCAAGAGATCTGTTACATCTCCACCACAAGCAAGAGCGTCTAAACTCCACTTAGCCTCTTATCTTCAAAGAGAACTTAAACAATAAAAACTTTTTACAGGTGGATAACGTAATTTTTCACGATAATCCTCCTCTATCCTTGCATAGAAGTGCTGGACTGACAGCAGTTCATGGTGGAGCCGCTGTATTCAACATCATGGGAAGGGTGAAGATGAATACCAATACTGAATGTAGTCAACAGTCACCTGTGATTTTAAAAAGGAGAATTAACAGCGTAAGAGAACCACTGAAGAATTTGACTGGTTGCAATCACTGTGGTATTTCTAATAAGCACCGAATTAAGGCGACTGTAATACTGTAGTAAGACGTGAAGGGAAACCAGGGTTAGCTTCGGTTATGAAGGAGGGTACCTCGATCAAAAATGAACTGTATTACAACGTGCTCATCAGCTACTGTTTCTGCTAATCACTTTCATGCGACTTCATCAAACGCCAATTGTTTGTTTGCTAACAATCCTCACTTTCCGTTACCCGATTCATCTGTTCAAAAATTTGGTTGCGATTCCGGTTGCGCCGCAGATCAAGGAGTTCAACCTATGGCTCTCCTTCGTTCCCGATCCTCGTTCCGTCCGACGTGCTTCAACGTTCGGACACTCATGAAGAATGGACAGCAAGCCGGTCTAGCGTGCACCCTAGTTTCCCTAGATATTGATGTCTGCTGACTTTCGGAAACTCGATTGCAAGATCCAGCACTGTGCTAACAATGACATCCCTCACTGACCACGAAGCCAGATATCACTTGCACCTTTCTGGAGATCCAGAAGGAGCCTCAGCGGGTTTGGCTGGCGTAGGTATAGCACTAAGTGGCAAGGCCGAGGCTGCACTATTGGACTGGTTCCCTATTAACAGCCGACTATGTGCAGTTCGACTTCGGGGTTCATGTAGAATCAACAGGCACCACCAAGAGAGACACAACTTGTTTGTGGTCTCCGTGTACGCTCCAAATGACTGCAGTGGCGACTCGGTCAAGGACGAATTCTACCGAGATCTACAACAGCTCTTGACTAATGCTAAAAAGTCGGATTTCGTTATCCTTGCCGGGAATTTTAATGCACGGGTTGGACGCCTGTCCCCATACGAACGACACCTTGGTGGTCATCACGCGCTCGATGAGAACCGCTCTGATAACGGTGAGAGACTTCTCATATTGTTCGAAGACAACCGTTTGTTTCTTTCGAGCACTAACTTCAGGCGTACGAAGAAGCGTTTCGCAACGTGTCGTCCCCTTCTTCAACACAACCGTGGTCTCAAATTAATCACATTGCAATCAGCTTCAGATGGCGCGGCAGCGTACTGGACTGCAGGTCCATTTGGTCCACCTTCGTTGACTCAGAGCATGTTTTGGTCTGCGCGAAAACCTGTATGTGTTTTGGAGGATCCCGAAACACGAAGCACCGCAATGTAAACAGATTAACTGATTCCTCTGTTCAGGCGAGCTATCAGTCTTCACTGGCATATGTACTCAGTTGCAATCCACCGAAAGAAGTGGAACAACACTGGACTTGTATACGGAAAGCGATGACCATTTCCGGACAGTCATGCTGCGGCCTAACTCGACGCCCTTTGAAAGCTTGGATCTCCATTGATTCTCTGGAGCTGTTCGAACTACGCAGATATACCCGCGGAATCAGATTGCAACGAGCGGCGCCGTTCTGCCAACCGGCTGCTCAAGCAAAGCCTACGCAAGGATAGTGAGACATGGTGGCCTGAGCGTGCTTTAGAGATGGAGACCGCTGCCCCCTCTGGTAACTCGCAGGCTTTTCCAACTAATTCGGTCCACTGGCCTTAGGAAGCCTGGTGTCAGTGAGGTCATTTGTGAGGTGGATGAGTCTCCGAGCACCAACCAACAGAGGCATATGGACCGCTGGGCCGAGCACTTTCATTCGTAGTTCAACTGGCCTCCACAATCCATCAGTACATGCAGTACACCTTGTTGTCCATCCTGGCTCGTCCCATTGAATCCACCCAGCGAAGCAGAAGTCTGTCTCGAGATTCGACGCTTGAAGCGGTTCAAGGCTGCCGGCTTAAACGGACTTCCTCCGGAACTATTCAAGTACGGCGGTGTGGTGACCATTAACCAGCTAAAGGCGCTGTTCGCAAAAATTTAGCATGAAGAGAAAGTGCCTTCCTCTTGGAGCGAATCACTTAGTGTCCCCATTTTCAAGAAAGGCACTCGCATTTCATGTGCAAATCATCGCGGGATTAGTCTTATTTCGGTTGCCTCTAAGCTATTGGCATCCATTCTGCTTCGCAGGCTATCCCCAGTACGTGAAACATAATACCGTGAGGAACAAGCTGGTTTCCGTCCTGGCCATCATCATCATCATCATACACGTTAGCTAGAGGTGGTGAACACCTCAGCTACTGTGCCGCAATACACAGAAAAAAGGAGAAAAAAACAACTGGTGCAAGCCGGCTGAGCTACCGGTAACGGATGGGCATCGTTCCGGTAAGCTACCAGCCGGCTGCTGTGCACCCAAAAAAATTATTATGCAAAATTATATAAGGCTAAGTAATGAGATCGTGGTTGGAGGGGGAGGCTAAGGGGGATGGGGTGGGACAAAGAAACTCACAGCACGAACGCCACGGAGGTCGGCTCCTAGCCATATCAGCAAGTGTGTCCAACCAAACGTGTTCATCGTCTTTCGGACCCCAACCAGGGAGCCGAGACGCTCCAACCGAGGCCAGCTCAGAAGTGAGGGTCTTCATTCCTCTGGACCAAGTCATCGCTTGGCCACCCCTACTCCTCTTCCATCCACACCCCCGGCGCGCAAACAACACACGTCGCGGAAGTCGGTGGGCTGGCATGCGTAACACGTGGCCGAGCCATCGGAGCCTGATGCGTGAAATAACGGTGCTGAGCGGTTCATTTCCTTTTCCTTTGCCATAAACAAGGCATCGAACACGCTCAATGCTCACACGATATTCCCACTAGATGTGAGCTTAATTACGAAGGCACCGGTGGTCGAATGTAACTAGCCTCTTCAGGTCCGCTGCTTTAAGCGGCCAGATTTCACAACCGTACAATAGGGTCGAGCGTACTGCTGCATTGTACACTCTACCCTTCAGGGCAAGAGTGATGTCGCGCCGGCGCCATAAGTGGCGAAGGTTAGCAAAAGCGCCCCGAGCTTTTGCTATACGATTCGTGATTTCATCTTCAATCCCATGGGCGCTGATACAACTTCCCAGGTAGTTGAAATTTGAACGACTTCTAGGTGATCCCCACCAAGGGTCAGCGTAGGAGATGATCCCTGCCAATCTTGGAGAAACGCTTTGCACTTCGAGGGTGCGAAGCAAAGCCCGAAGTGACGGACAGCTAGTGCTAATCTGTCCAGTGCCGCTTGGCACGTTTGTGAGCTGTCACAGATCAGGGCAATATCAACAGCATACTCTAAATCAAGAAGTCGTTCTACTGGGAGTAGCTCCACACCTTCTAAGTCGTGTCCTGTAAACGTCCCGGCCGCGAATGCGTGGATCAAATCTTCAAGCTCCGCCAGCTCCTCGAACATCGCCACATTTATCACAGGCCCATTATCGTTGCATTCCTAGACATACGTGTCGCTTTTGACTCCGTTGATCGACCTGCTTTATGGCGTTGCTTACTAAAGAACGGGGTGCCAGAGAAATATACCGCCATCTTACGAGCACTTTATCTTCATACATGCGGCAGAGTGAGGGTCTATGGCAAGCTTTCCTCGCAATTCGCTGCCAATAGCGGTGTGCAACAGGGTTACCCTATGTCCCCATTCCTCTTCAATTTCGCAATCGAAGACGTTCTGTCGAATGCCCTAGAAGACTTCCAACATTTTGGCCTAGAGCTTCTACCGGGTGAGCGCGCGACCGACTTAGATTATGCGGATGATATCGCCTTACTTGGTGACGATCTGCAGTGCATGCAATTCATTCTGGATCGTTTGGCGGTTGAAGCATCTAAGGCATGAGCTTCGCTCCATCGAAGTGTAAAGTACTGCTCAAGGATTGGCTTTCACCTGCTCCCGTGCTCACTCTCCAAGGTGCACAACTTGAACAGGTAGATAGTTTCGTCTACCTTGGGAGCTGTGTTTCTGCTGACGGCATTATTAACAAATAAGTTTCTCTTCGTATTGCTAAGGCTCGATCAGCATTTGTCAATCTGAGGCACTTGTGGCGTCGTCGCGACGTCTCATTCTCACTAAAGGGCCGCGTTTACAGCGCATCAGTTCGCTTACTATTGTTGTATAGGTGCGAGTCCTGGCCGATTCGCGTGGAACACATGCGTCGTCTTTCTGCCTTCGATAACGGTTGCTTAAGGAGGATCGCTCGTGTTTGGTGGCAACATCGAGTTAATAGTAATGACGTTCGACATCGCATGTTGGGGAATGCGAGTATTCCCATCAACAAACTGGCTTTGTTGCGCCAGTTAAGATGGTTCGGTCACGTCCTACGCATGGCACCTGAACGTCTATCGCGTCGTGCTCTATTTGCTCGTCAAGGACCTGGCTGGAAGCGACCGCGTGGTGGTCAGCCTTCCACTTGGTGGCAGCACATGAAATCACTGACGTCGTGTCCAGCCGTTATTGGATCCGTACGTCTTCCAGGATGGGGACCCAAAGATGATGATTGCCAATGGCTTAGCACAATGAACACATGGCCCGCAACCGGAATCAGTGGAAGAATTGTGTACAGTATGGTATTGATTCACATGTTTGATACTACAAACATTGAAAGTGACAAAAAAGTGAAAAATCGGCGTGTGAAAAACAAACTAAAAATGTTTTGTTCTACTTTTTGTCAAAATGTTCCATTCTTCTTGCGGCATATTAGCTGAAGTGTGTTGCCCACTTTCAACTACCATGCCACGATGATTAGCCATCTGGTGGAATCTACGAGTGTGCAGCGCTGAGACTCGTCGGTTGATGTTCGGTGACACAGGTTGTGTTTCTCCTCTGGGACCTGAATGGCCTATGGTGGTTGGATCACGCTCTAGCTGTTGCCCGTCTAACTAAGCGCCGTGCCTGGTTGAATACAGTCTCAGAGCAGAGGTCTGATGAAGAAAGAAAGAGACGGAAGAAATCCACTGCGATATTTGCCGGGCTGATGCATCGCCACATCAGACAGACCAAACAGCTTTTGGGACATTAAATATTAACGGAGTAGGCGCAGATCCCTGCGCTCAATCTGCTGCCCCCGACTGCCGGGTAACCTAGCTATTAATTATTTTTAATTTCGCCCCAAACTCTTTTATTGCATTTCGCATAGCATCTTCATCTAATTTTCACGAGTGGTGCTTCCTGTAATGGTAGGGACGTACTTCAACGCACTTCGGTACCCCTGTTGGAGTCGCTTAACAAAACCCAATCAGGCTGATTAGTCCACTGGCTGTTCAAATGGATAGGATCGGTTTTACACTGGGCGAGGAAGATCTGATGGTGGTTATATTCCGACTAACAGCTCACACTACGATGATCCGCTACTACGTACTCATTCGAGATAATTCGTTTTCGTGAGGTCGACGGCGTAACTCGAGTGAAAAGGCGCACCAAGCAGTCGGCAGTATCAACGCCATGATGATTCGTTAATTCGATTAGCTGCTTCAATACTGTCACACCCCGAACCCATAAAACAATGAATGGAAATCAGTAGTAATTGCTTCTCCATGTTATCAAGGGAGCAGTATAATGGAACTCCGCGTAGCTAAAATAAGCGTGTTGTGAATAACAGATAAGCTAGTTGAAGACCGAAAGCAAAGAGATTGCTGCGCATTGCCATAACGAAATCATAAAACTACTGCTGGGTAAACAATTAACAAGTACATGGAAACAGAATTTGGATGTAAGCACCAACGTGTCGCAAGACGGAAAAATACTGGCGGGTTGTTATCATTGCCATAGCAGTACAAGAAGAGTTGAATGACTGAGGTAAAAATAAAGTGGCTGAAAAAGCAATAACTAGATTAGAATTTAATAAGGAACAACCCATGAGATAAGTTGTAGAAATGAGAGGACAAGGACTACCAACAATAACAGCTAGTGGAAATGTGTAGGATGATTATACACGTCGGTAGAAATATCACGTGGTTAGAACATCGATATGACTAATTCAATCGCAGCCTCAAATAAAACATGAAGAACTGACATATCTGGGCAATCGACCCAAGGTTAAAAAAAATAGCAAGACGCTTCGGTCTTTCCAACCAAACAAATAAAGCAATCCTCAATGCGCTACATATGTCGGAGATAGTGAAGACTGCTTAGGGCAAGTTAAATTGATCTGCTAACGCTGAGATGATAGCGAGATTCGACCGAACGTTAAGGCAATCGATTGTAGATAAAAGGAGGGAGGAGGTTCTTGTCCACGACCGTTGTCGCATATGTTCAGTCAATTCAGGTGAACCCATGGTAATCGGCTGACATTTTTACAGTTAGCCCACCAAACATCGCAAGAATGACATGGCTCAGTAGCTCGGAATTCATTTTCTAATTAGAGCAACTGACGCGCGTTTTTGAGTGTGGCACGCAACTCCCACACGAACTGATGGATAGCACAAGGTCAACTAGGATTCACCTTGTCCAAAGCATTTAAGAAGGATTCCGTATCAAGTAGTTTCGTCTCGATTGCATCAATCCCCATCGGTACATGCGATTTTTCACCAGAGACCTGTGGTCCGTTCTTCATGAGATCGAACATATCGAGCCAAGCGCTACGTCCTGCTTCCGCCTCGGAGTGCAGTGCTTCCATAAATTGAGCTGAAGCGATTTGAACCGAGGTTGGGAACGCGGGGTCAGAATGCTCGTTAGACGATGTTATGGGGCAGGAAGATGTAGGCATTGGAGTGTGTTTGAAGGAATCCACCGCTAGGGAGAACGAAGGAGTAGCAATGGTAAGTGAACGCAAAGTTTAAGAAGAGTAACTTGACTGCGCTCGTTAGTACTGGAGGAAGGATAGCCGAAGAATCATCTCTTCGGATTGGAACACGCTTTGAAGTAGAAGGAAAAAGACATTAAGCAGTACAGCAACAAAAGGTGGAGAAATTCAGGAGAAAACGAATAATATGTACGAACGCACCTTTACTCAGAGGAAACAGATATGGCACTTGAGTCTTGATTTGGGATTCAGAAGATTTCGGGGTCCATGGTACCTGGGTAGACGCCACAAAGTCAGCAGATTCTGTAGGTACATACTGTGTGGTAACGGCAGTGGAATGCTGATCAGGCGACTGTGAAGCCAATGGCAACGGAATCTCAAGAGGAGTCGGCAACAATGAAGGAGGTGGTGCGATTGTGTCCAAGTTGAGCAGTAGATACGGACTAAAACAGCCGTTGGTTAGCCGTGAAACCAAGAAGTAGGACAAGCTTTGTGCAGTTTGGCTCTAGATAGATAAATTAGAATTTCGCGGAGTAAACGAGGATGAATCTATTGGCGAAAAAAATGACAACGCATAGTCACAAACTTGAATGCGAGAGATACTGATTCCGGAAAGTACCTGAAAGTGTGGAAACATAATACCGAGCCGAAATAAAGAAACGCAGTGCCCAAAATGCCAAAACGAATAGTTTCAAATGCGCATACATGTATGTTCTAGTACAAATCATTGTTAGAAAGAATGCAAATGGAGTGAGGGAAAGAAATGGTGGTGAAAACTGTTAAGTGATAGCAACAAAAGGATTTATACTCAAGTGCAATGAGGGGGAAGTTTTGTTGGCACATAGTGTGGAAGACGTCTCCAGTCCAAAGAGGTCGGAAGTATTCATCCATAACCTAATAAGCAGCTAGTGAGTCGGATGCCAATGAACTTGTTTCAAAGGAATAAAATATCCACGCACCTCTCTGAAGTATCCGAGGCAAGAGCCAAGGGGAGATCCATCTGGAGGAAGTTCTATGGTCAAAATGTTAGAAGGTGGTGACAGCAGAGCGTTGGCAGATATAGAAGGCATAGCGAAAAGCATAACTTCTTCACCATCGGCCGAGTGAGATGCCAGAAAGTGATTATTACCGATCGCATGAAAGTAGTATTGCCAATGATGGGTCGAAGCCGGTGAGCCACGTAAATCAGGGATCTCAACACAGGCGATCTCCGTTGACTTCGACTAAAATAGAATAAAATAGATACTAAGACACTACGCAGTTCAGATGAACACAAAATTGCATGCAGCCACTGATATGTAGCAATCGATAAGCAACGGCTTCCCTAAGCTCCAAGTGCATAAGCAGATCCGGGTAAAAGGCCAGCGTCTAATGCGGTATGGCTCAAGCACGTAAGTTCGGGTAATAAGTCATCGTAAGGAACAAAAGCCAAATGGAAGTGGATACACTTAGAAAGTGTGCAAGGTGCAATGTATAAAGGATATTCAACTATCAGGTGAGTTGGTTGTTGTGAATTCGAATGTGAAGTAATCACCACGACTGTTTCCTCTAAAAGCGCCAACCACGTTACCAAAGATAAGCGACTGTTGCTAATTCTGAAATTGCTCCTCAAGAGTAATGGAGAAACGACTGGATGGACTATTCACAATGTAACTCAATATTACCTACAAACACCAGACGGAGCGTGGCATGCGCCGGAGCAAACCGCGGTCCCCGCTGATACCAAGACAAGACAAGCCGGATGTCATCAGTATTGAACAATACAAGTCGTATCCTCGGATGGATTCCAAAAGTGTAGATGGCTAGGCTGGGGTCCGGACTAATGGTCTTATCACTGCCTAATGAAGCTTAAGACTCGGTTAATAAATTCTGGCACCATCATGTGTGTAGATTTCGGAGTTGTCATGGTCAGTCGTGCGAACCACTGTTCGATATGGTGAAGTGATGGAGGCGACGGTTTCCAGTCTATCGATCTTTTGCTCCTATTGCTAACCATTTCATTTCTTTATTACTACTCGTCTTTTTCAGATTAATTTTGTATCTCCATCTCCTTCAACATTTAAGTTGGATTAAAACTGCAGTTTGCCGCTGACAAATGTAATGCACTATACCATGTTCACTATGTTTCTCCTAGCCACCTGACTGTTAATAATACTGCCATCCTCAAGTTTCTCAGAGTTCGTGACTTTGGACTAAAATATTGTGCTTCTTTCAATTGCACGGAACAACTACATAGTAGCAAGCCACGTTCCAGGAAGATGGTTGTATATATTGCGATTCCTAGGCGTGAGTTGAGAAAATGCCGGGTTGGACAACCGATGAAGCTGAAGAGGAACTTCGAATATGTCACCGCATTCTTGGCTTCATCAGGATCCGTCTGTCTTCCAGATTGGGAACCAGGTGATGGAAACCCCAAATGTCCGGAAGTATTGGAGGTCATGGCTCGGAAGCAAAATCACTTGCGTCAACGCTGTTCTAACATTTCTCTTACCTCCGAATTTCAATTTTAAACAACCGAACAAAAATTCAAAAGAACGTGCGTGGAATACAAAAAAAAACAAAAGGAAAGAGCCGTGTTTTAATATTTTTGCAACCATTTTCTCATACCACAGCTATGGTTCTGATGCCACATTTGTTTATTCTCAGATTTGCGAAATATATATGGTTGGCGGCCTCCGGTTTCGGATTTGCCCGTCACTGTGGCAAGCCACAAGACGCCTGCGCCTACACAGGGACCACGAGTGGCTTGCGCTGCACCACCCGCAGCTCCAACCACATACCCATATCCAGTGTAAACCCGAAGGAATGAGACCGGGAGGTATGTGGATGAGAGCCAGGTTACATTAACAGACCCGGCCCACACTCCTTCACAGGCAAGCATAAGCACGCTGTATTTGGGAGATCAAGCGCACACAAAGCGGTGGCTGGACCGTAGTCCGCTCCACACTGAGTGCATGGAACCACTCTTCGAGCCTAGCACGATCACAAGGACCGTGCACACCGTCCCCTACAGCAAGGACCAACTATCTCTTAGAGCCAGTATGAAAGAGGCAGTGTGTAACAGACAGGTAGGCACCTTGTCAACATGCAAATCAAGCGCAGCCGCACTGGGGATGTCAAACAACAGTCAAGCACTTGAAATGACAGTAACAAATAAAATATATCTGTTAAAGGATACGGCTATGCAGATATAACACTTCCCTAAATTAGCATATGAAGTATGTTGGTTAGCAACGGATCCGCTATAAGTAAAAAAATGTCTAGAAATGACTCAGAAAATGTTACAAACGCAATCAAGTTAACGAAGATAAGCACAATTACCGTAAACAACGTGGAAAGTTAATAGAAGATTATTCCGGAAGGCAGAACAAATCAAATAAATTAGAATGAAATTTGACCAGCTTAAAAAGACCTACTTTAAGTGTAAGTTGGTTTCGCCCAACTGCGGTGAAGAAGCATCATGAATGCAACATCAGCCTCAACATGGGGTGTATATATATATATATATATATATATATATATGTATATATATATATATATATCGAGACCATTAGTCTAGAAGGAAATTAGACCGAAGGCGTTCAAACTGTACATAAGATTATGGCTAGAAGACCGTCCAGTTATGTAGGATAATCTGCGTAGATACTGATGCATTAGAAAACATTCAGAGATCCCTTACAAGGCGGTTTTTAAGCATGCTTGAAATATGATTTACAATGAACATTGGAATACAATGGATCTAAAACAGCTGTAGCTAGGCAAAATAAAGATCTGATTGCAATTTATCGTATATAGTTTGGTTTTCATTCCACTGCCCATGCTATATTCCATTTTCAGGTTGTCAGGCATCACGTAACACGAAACAGCAAGTGGATACTGTGCATTACAAACATTCCAAGCAGTGGCAAAATTCTATATTACTCGGTTTGAACTATCAAACAATGAGCTACTTACATAAAAGGAGAATCGACAAACAACTGGGTGTCGCCAACATCTCTGTAATGTTTGGTCTTGAAATGACCTATATGAGAAGTGCCGGGATACTGTGAAGCGCGGTGTGCAAATGTTGATAGCTACCTACAAATGACATCATTTCTTTCATTAAAAACTTAGATTCTAAGCCTCAGTTTCATTATGCATGCTTAATTTCTCTGTCCGGATAGGTAACGAAAACATACTCGCTAAGACAGTGCTGAAAGTCGCTTTTATAATTCTCCTTTACTTTAGTGAGAGGGGAAACATACGGTGGGTTTATGCGAAACACAGATCTGGTAAAAAGTACTTATCCTTGTCTTCTCTACTCGCTGTTACTTTATTCCCCTCTGCTTTCGGTTTTCACCGATTCAATGGAGGGTCCAGGTAGACATTCATTTGACCGACTGGTATCCATCGAGCAGTGGCGTACCGCAAAACACTGCACTGGGACCGATTTTGTTTCGGATCCATGTAAACGATGTGTCTCACCTATTCCAATCACCTTGTGCGTTGTTCGCAGATGACTTGGTGTGGAGAGTAATCCGCACATCCAATGATTGTGACCTGCTTCAGCAGGACCTCGACCGCCTCTCCATGTGGTCTGCAGAGGTCAGGATTCCGATCAACCCAATCAAGTCGCAATTCATGAGGCTGGGTAAGTGTGAGCGCAGTCGAAGCTGCACGGTGGCTGGTCAACCGTGGCATTCCGTGCCTTCCGTGCGAGACCTCGGTGTACTCTCATGCTACGACCTAAAGTCCATGGACAACACGATTGGGCTCTACCAAAACAGCCTTCGTATGCTTTGGGCGCTCAGGTGCGGCTTCAGCACTTGGTCCGAAGAGATTGCCACTCGCCTCTTCGTCTCAATAATAAGACCAATGCTAGAGTATGGCTCTCCCGCGTATTGGCCGATCACAAGGGGCAAGTAGGAAAGATTAAGCGAGTGTAGCATGCAGCCACCAGGCTGGTTCATAACTTACGAAGAGTGCCGTACGAAGACCGGTGTAAGAAACTAGGGCTGTACATCAAAGCTTATCGTCAACTGAGGGTTGACCTCATCATGACGCACCTGCTAGCACATCTGGGAGATTACCCCATGTTGACGCCGCTGCTTCATCTGCGCACACCAAGCAGCACACGAGGACACCGCTACAAGCTTATCGTACCGGATTTGAAGCGAGTCGCTCGCCAACTCTGTTTCGAAAGCACAGTGGTGAATGTATGGAACGACCTGCCGCAGCACGTAGTTGAGGCAAAGTCGGTCTCGGAATTTGATAAATTCCTGGACAAACACTCTGCCGATGTAAAATATATCTAGCGCACCACAACATAACGGGTTTTTTTCCCTGAGTGACAATAGATGCAGCTACACAGAGACACCTCTACTTGCTGCTTGCAGCCAGTAGTCAGTGGTAAAATATGTTTATCAACCATTATTAATGTCAATGCCCTTCCCTTACCACTTGTACACGGAGACAAAAAACCATGTGCGTATGAAAATGTGACAACTTTGCTAGGTTTGGTAGGTAAACTTTACCTTTGGCTTTTCCGTTCTATTTTGTATCTTCTGATCTCAATTTTCAGTGAACACAACGACTGATGGTGTATAGTTGAGAGATACGCGTATCAACAACGCTGAGCAATCCAATCCGGTTTGATTCAAAGCATCCCCGATCTGTGTTGAAAATATATTGCTTCCCAATGTTACCGTCATTCCTCATGTACTTGAATACTTGCTGCGCCACATACCTTTTATGTCGTGCCTTTCTGCTGATAGCTGTCTATTAGTTTCCCACATTTTACACTGCTGATGAATGCAGTTTGCTTGCCACCTCAGCACATTTTTCAGACAACTGCATTTATGCCTTATGTGTGATACAGAAGCCCAACCGCTATTCAAACACATCCTTTAAATTCTTTATTCGCTTCTAGCTGTAGGCGGTAACTTCAAGTAAGTGTCATCTAAATACCATAGGGCGAACGTCCAAAACACAAGCTGCAAACATGTTGGAAAGACCAACAGTTTACTTTCATTATCAAATGTGTCATCCGTACAATTTATCAAAGTGAAAATGTACAAAACCCCACTGCCTCAAAAAATTGACAAACAACAGTAGTATCGTAGGGAATAAAATAGGCATTTGTTACGGAATCCATTGGCCAGTCCAGTGAAGAAACCAGGCGCGATGTAGGAGCTTAGATCATGTCTGGTGGGAGCACCGCGTGAGCAATGGATGTATTCGGTTT